ACCTCTCCAGGTTATCCTCGATACACAACTCACTGAGAAAAGAAGGGTGAGTACGGGTACCGCTCTTGTCAGTAAAGAGCGTGTTACCCAAAAGGACCCACATGTAACCAATAGCCTGAACCGCCTCCAGCTGCTCCTCACTACGACACCTAGCAATAATCTGGTCAGTATGGACACCACCGTTCCTATAGATGCCATTCTGAGTCTTGACCTGTAGCTCCTCCGGAGTCAACTGTAACAACCCACCTACCAATGTCCTATACTGGTTACTAGGGAGATCATCGACAACCATATCCCCATCAACCAGAATACCAAGTATGTGGTGTACGTCGTGCAACATGATGGTCATCTCACCAAAAGGTAGGTGGAATGTGTTCGTGTCTGGCTGCCATCTCTCAACAAAGGCAGAAATCAGTGGAAAATCAAGGTGGTCGTGCATAATGCTAGGCAGGTGCGACAGCCCAGTCTGTCGTATCCGCGTAGTGGTGGTAGGCGTAAATCACTCTAGCCAATCAGTCAAATCTCTACACACACTAGCTCTAGTATGACACCGCAAAAAACGTTGATATTCCCCATCCCAAATATACCGAGCAACATGGGCCCCGAAACTAGGAATAACGCTCCCATCCTCGGGCCCACCGTCCATCGGCCCCTGAACAAGCCAAGTCGCTGCAGATCGAGGTGGTCGGGAACTCGTAAATCTCCCATCAGGATCTCTCGTCACGACAGGCGGCTGCTCCTCAGCATCATCCTCACCCTCATCTACATCATCCTCAGGTCCATCATCCTCGTACCTCGAACTCGAACCCGAACCCGGAGTCCCATAATCATCCACTATTCTGTCGCGCTCTGGTGCTGAACTACCTTCCCGTATACTAATCCCCCTATCTCTCCTAATTGACGCGTTAATACCGCGTGATCTAGCATGTCGTGGACCAAAACCCTCAACTACATCCTAAATTTAAAATAAATTATAATATTAAATAAAAAAATTAGGTGATGCAAACAAAAGAAAACCAATAATGTGTTCTATGTATCATTTTAATAAAATCATTAGGAGTATTAAACAATAATAATAAACAACAATAATACCTATCTTTTTATACTTAGAAAAACCAAAGGAGTACTACTAATTATATTTTACTCGTAATATTTTATTATAACATTAGACACAGATTTTTTACACAAACTCAACAATAATATCTCAGATCATTCCTCACCACCACCTTTAATTTATCAGTAATTCTTAGATTGAGCACAAAAGCCCAAAATTACACTTAGCTACACATTTGAGTACGGCAGTGTACTCAAATCCCACTAATTGACACTACAATACTTGATTAGCCTAAAGGGGAGTGAAATTCAAGTATGCCTCTTTTCTACCATAGAGCTTATGCCGAGCTACTGAGATTCAAGTATAAATACTAATTTTCTCTCAAACTCAAACTCAATCTCAATCTCAATCTACCAAGCTTTAATTTTTCTGATTGTAGGAAAATTATATGCCCATATAATACTTAATCATACCACGAATAAATTCATCATTACCATATAATATAGATAAAAAATACTTAAATTCACCATCAATTCCAACAACAAATTGAAACAAATAGCAACATCATACGAAAAACAGGCCATAGTCTCAACGACAACAATTAAACAACAACAACAACAATAATAAACAACAGCAACATCATACGAAAAACAGGCATAAACGCCCAATTTTTTCGTCGGATCCAGGCTGAAACGCCTAGATTTTTTGTATAACCGTATGGATGAACGAAAATTCTAGGCGTTTTAGCCCAGATCTAGCGAAAAAATTAGGCGTTTCTGCCAATTCCAGAAAAAAAATAAAAAAAAATATACTCACCTTGTCTCCGGCGACTCCTTCGACGATGGCCTTTCCCTTGTCCTTCCTCGTCATTTTCGCGCCTTTCCCTTGTACGTGGTGATGGGTGGGACGTGGTGGTGGTAGTGGTGGGTGGTTAAAGGGCGTGGTGGTATGTGGTTAAAAAAGGAGGCGATGGTGGGTGATTTAAAGAGGAGTTGGTGGTGGGTGGTTCAAAGAGGAGGTGGTGGTAGTGGTGGGTGGTAAAAGAATGTGGTGGTGGTGGTGGTGTAGAGATATAATTTTTTTACAGAGGGAGAAGAGGGAGTGAGGGTTTTGGGAGGTAAGTAGTGTTTGGGAGGTAAATTCTTTATTTTATATAAGGGTAAATTTGTACAATAAATTTTATTTACGGGCGTTAGTCGGAAATTCGAGGGTGATATTTAACAACCCCCTATGATTATTGTACAATTTTTATATTTATTTTTATTGAGGAGGGTTTTTTTTTCTGTGAGAGATTATATAGCAGTACTAGATTAGTACCCGCGCATTGCACGGTGGTTATAAGCAATTTTTTCATATTTTTTTTATATCTTTTATTGTTGATAACTTTTTAACATGACTTAGCTCGCTTTTTATTTAGTAAAAATAAAGTTTGTTACTCTATAAATATTTAAAAAAATTAAAAAATAAATAAAAAATAAAAAAAAAGACATGTACATCATCCTTTTTTTTTTTTAATGAGTATAATTTAATGCTACATCATAATATTATACTAAAATGATGGTTAGAAAAAATATACTTCATATAAAATATTGCATTATCTAATGAGCTTATAAATTTAGAGTGGAAGCACAACAATATTGATGTCAAAGTCAGGTTCGGATTTTTAGTTTCATACCTACTTGGTTCTAGTTTCTAGCAAATAAAATGAAAAGGCAAAAAAAAAAAAAAAAATGATGACATCATATGTAAATTTGGAGGGAAAATTTTTAATGAGAGCTTGACACATAAGACATTTTAGGAATTAATGACATCAGCATGTTTTGTTTTAGTAATAGTTAATAGATTTAGATATGGAAAAAGTGAAACCGAATCTCTCACTGATCAACTCGAACTAAATTATGACTTCACGAGCAAGACTCCTTTAAGGTAGGGATAATGTGTAAGAAACAAATTTATGGAGTACAGTACATTACAACGTGTTTCGAGGTTTTTGGGAGTCCCTCGAGAGAGTTACAATTCCAATACTGGATGCCGACCGTATGTACCTGCAAAACAACGGACTCCGGTTGTGTGCAGTTCCGCCTCCGACGATCAAGTTAGTATGTGTACGGACGGAGTTAAGAGTGCGGAAAGTAAAGAGTCTTCTCGGATTCCGAGAGAGAATATCTACAATTAATATTGCTCTTGTTGGTGGGTATTTCCGAATGAATGCATTTAACGGGGATATCTCCCTATTTATAGGGTCTGGAAAGCAGCTCCCATACTCTGGGCTATAGATCCCAAAAGGTTGGTGGACTGTCTCATGAATTGGGCCAAGAAGGCCATCTCCCTCTTCATGACTTGGGCTGCCACGTGTCAGTAGAGGATTGGTTCGTTTAGAACCTCTCTGAGGGCGGCACGTGTCATCATGCAATTGGTCCACGTGGACCTGGGTATTTTTACCCTGAACACAATGTTCGATTCACCTAAAATTATATATGTTCAAAGTATGAATTTATAATAGTAGATTTGATTGAAATGTAATCAATGTAATCTATTCAAAATTTATAAGATTTGATTGAACTCACGGAGTCTGTTTAATAGTTATGAATTACTCGCTTTAATTTTTTTTTTCTTAGCTGGTATCTTGACACTTTTCATAAGTTCAAAAAATCTTCTAAATTAAACTCAAAACAGTATGTAAAATAAAAACATATACATGTTTGGGATTTATGTGATTCGTTTCAATGGTTAGCTTGTTAAGATTCAATTATTACTCTTACTCCCTTCGTTTTTAAATAATTGCCATAGTCAAATATGACACATAATTGTTACTCATTCGGGTTAGGTTCGGGTCATTTAGGTTTCAAGTATGTTTCGGGTCGGCTTCAGGTTAAGTCTATTTTGGGTCATGTATGTTCGGTTCAGGTCATTTTTAGGCCAGGTTTAGGTCGTTACATCTTATGTCGATATTGTGGATCAAGCTCAAATTGATAATTTATTCGGTTTGTGAGTTTAATTACGTCTGGGATGAAAATGTTTGAGTTATTTTTGCCACCAGACAATTTTTGTTCAGGTATAAAGTAATTTAGTTCGAGACATTTTGAGTATCAGGTTTGTTCGGGTCAAGCAATTCAGGTTCAAATTAGATTGGGTCAACTTCTGCTCGAGTCATTTTGGGTATCACGTCAACTTTGGATCGGGTACATTCGAGTTAGATCGTTTCAAGTATCGGGTCAAGATCGGGTCAACTCCACTTCAAATCAGATAGATTTTGGGTTTCAAGTCATTGTGTTTCAGGTAAATTTTTGCGTTAAGATTGTCAGGTCTACACAAATCCTTGGTTTAGCTACTATGACAATCTAATTTGCAGTCAATATTTTTTTTTTTGATGTATTAAATATTATTATTAATCTCTTGAAATTTTTAACCTGATTGTAATAACTTTTTTAAACACAATTTCCATTTGAAGTCAATTTTCATGGAATTATATGCCACGAAGTGGAAAAAAAATTAATTTGAGCTAGAATATTAAGAAATTTGTTACGAATTATAGTTTTACAAACAAGCTACTTTTAAGTTAAAGGAACCGGTTCACAAAAATAATTTTCTTTTTTCTTTTTTCTTTTTTGGTTGGAAACACAGAGCAATTTTACTTAAATTATTTTGGTGTCGAAAAAAAAAAAAAAAAAAAAAACCAATGTCTTGAATATCACCTCTCAAACTTTAAAACATCCAAGTAATCTCCTCTACTCTAGTTTGCGTTAAAAATCCATTTCCACTACATTAACTGATTAGTGCTCGATAAGGATAAAGCATTACAAAAATCATTAATTACAGTCGTTGTAGTATAGTGGTAAGTATTCCCGCCTGTCACGCGGGTGACCCGGGTTCGATCCCCGGCAACGGCGTGGTAATTTTTTGAATCTTTTTTTTGGTGTACTTCATATTCCCAAATCCTTCAAAGTTTTTTCCAATATACTGTATTTCATTAGACTAGAATCCATATACATGACTCATTTAAGATATACAACTGGCAACTGAGTGTATAAATTGTTTCTTAAGAATCAACAAATCAGCTACTCTGACATTGAAATTAAAAACAATAAACTCTGTTCTATCCATAACACATCATCATATTATACACGATGAAGAAACCTTCAAGACTAGTAAATACCTAAAGACCCAAGAGCTACACTACAGCTAATCATCTTCCGCCAGCTGTATCAGAACCCTTGCCTTGATTATGTCTACTGGGTTCCTTGAGGTCCGACGAACCTGCTGTTTGGTATTGTCCTGGTTGTGAGTTTTGATTACTAGGTCGCGATGTGGAAGTTGCTCCAAATACCTGAGCGGCAACAAATGGATTAGGCCTCATAGACCCAATGACTTTTTGCTCTGCTTGCATACTCGAATTAAACTTCAATCCAATCCCTTGATTGATCTCACCACTGTTCTTCCCAGCACTAGAACCAGTTTGAGCCCCAGGTTTCCAAGAAGTGGATGACTTATTCGTATTAGGGGCATTGCCATCATTCTCCCCCTTGACCTTGTCCAGATGAGTTGTCTCTGAAGCCTGATTCGTTTTGGGCTGCTTGCTCTCAGGTTGCTTTTCTCGATCGAAAGTAGTAATTTCTGGTGGTTCGGCTCTTGGGGTTGCAGAACGGCCAGATGCAATAGTAGTAGTTGGAAATGCTTTTTCAGGAGGGACAACAGGAGTATAATTAGACGGGAGTAAATCATCCCAGTTCTCAAGCAGCTCTTTGTAGACTTTTCTGAGTGTGACCTCAGTGAGACCTGTTACCTTACATATCTCTGCCTGGGTCTTGCGTCTATCTTCTAGTTGACAGGCCAGATATATAGCAGCAGCTGATATGCTTATAGGGTTCCTACGAGTGCAGAAACATTTGTTCATCACAACTTCTCCAATGTGGGTTGCAAGTTCCTATAAATTTCCAAAATGGTATAAATTATGAGTAAACATTTCTTTGAAATAGAACCTTTATGATATTCTCTTCCAAAGCCACCAAATTAATGAAGAAATGCAATACAGGAGGACACCATCAGAGTAATTTTGACAAACAACAAGAATTTTCCAATTCTAATTCTGGTGCAATAGCCAACTGATGACTAGCAACATAAGATATACTTCGTATATTTATTCAACTAGCATCAATGTTAAAAATAGCTTCATTAATAATCTGCAAAAACAGGAAAGCAGCAAAATTTACAATATATGGCTTCCCTTGAGATGAATAGGAGGGGCAACGTAATGGGTTAAAAATTCTAGAGATTTTGATAGGGTTGAATGACGGAGATAGTTAAATGAAGTAACTTACTACCCTAAAAAATGAGAGCAACAATTACCCAACCCTCTTTCCCTTGGTTACTTTTCCATCCTTTATCTAGACCTCTGTTCACCTCAATTCTTCTAGTCCCATTTCTTCAATTTTCATGACAGCCATAAATCTCTTGCTACCTAAGCGTTCAAGCCACTTTTGATGGCAGTCGACTGTGTTGTGTGGGGAACTAGAATGAAGGGAGGAGAGAGAGATAGAGAGAGTAGGGTTGGAGAAAAGGATTTCAATTATTGAAAAAGGAATTGTTACTAGATTCCCAAACTTGTAAAAAAGAAATTTTCAACTCTTAATGAATCCCCTTGGAACTATTTCCTCTTTAAAAGTTTATACCCCTACTTATCACTCAAATTCCAAGCACGGCCATAAATGACAGTATCTCAGAAGCTTTCCAATTCTCCATTAGTTACCTCTTATAGGCATATCACTGGGTGACATCGAAAAGTACATACTATATCACCCAACGATGCATATGAGCAGACATTACCAGGAATTTCTAATTACCTGAGCGGATTTATTAAGCTGGAGAAGATTGCAAAATCTGGGCATATGTACAGCTATGGAATTGCTATTAATTGGTTGACTGAGTTGTAGAGCTTCTCCCAAGATCTTGATATACTTTCCAATCTCTTTCTGAGGAAGGTTTGCTGCAATTGAGATTTCCTGTTACATGAAATAAGAGACCCAATTACAAATGCCCTTAAAATTAAGTGCCCTTTCTTATCACATTGGCAACTTCTCTTAGATCTTTTCCACTCATATATTATTGCAAATAAAAAGAGCACAATGATTTCTTCAAACTTGTAATATTTATTATTTTACAGTACCCCACAAGCTTCAGCATGGGGCGGGAAATGAACCACTTGCACATAACTTTGCAAACACAGCAATCAGATTTCATAAATGGCTCAGCATCCAAAACTTAATCTAAGGAAAACAAGAACAGAGAAAAGGGACTGCATAATGTTCACTACAAAACTGTACCAAGTCCAAGACTCTCAAATCCTGACCAATCGTCGAAAACATCAAATACATTCGAAATTCAGAATGCATCTAACAAATTTGTACAATGAGCCTCTTAAAATTATCAATGTACCCAATTGAAAAGTTCAACCAGAAACTACTCCTATAGAATTAAAGCAAGAGATAGGCAGCTTCAAATTGAAGAACTTAAATTCATGCACTCCTGCACAAACACCATTTCTAAAACACAAAATGGACAAATTCATTCAAAAACACTAGCATCATTCTAAAACTCCAATTCCTAGAAAAATCCCTGAATTCACAAAGCTCAATCATGAAAGGGTTTGGTTTATAAACCCCAAATAATCCAATAAACAAACAATCACCCTAATTTCTCAAACAAGTAGCAGAAGAGCAATCCCGTCTACATCAATAATGAAAATTTGAACAAAACCCCATTTATTCAACAAAGAAACAATAACCAAATAGATAAAATAACAACAAATTTGCAGAAAATGGAGAGAGGAGAGAGAAACCTGAAGAGTACGAGGCTCCTGAGCTTCACGAATAGCTTGAACAAGACAAGCAGTAGCAAGAGCTTCAACACTACGATTCCTCAAACAAGTAGCAGAAGAACAATCCCTAAACAACTGAAAAGCATGATCAGAAATATCATGGTCCAACCCAAGAATGGAAGCAACATCAACAATCTGAAGATAAGCCCTCAAATTATCAACAACAACCCCAGAAGAAGAAGAAGAATTAACAGAAGTGCCCTCGAGAGCACGCTCAAGCTCAGCGAGGTGGCCAGAGAAGGAGAGAGAAGAAGCGGCGAAAAGCGGGGAGTGGCGGAGAGACCAGGTAGAGAAGGCGGTGAGAAACCCGGTAGGGTCAAACGGGTCATCCGGGTCGGGTAAGGCGGGCTGAGGAGGAGAGAGAGGGAGGTCGGAGGTGGAGAGGAAAAGAGGGGAGTCTTGAGCTTGAAGATGGAAGATGTGGTGGGTTTGAGTTTGGCGTTCTTCGATGACACGGCCGCAAGATGTGCACTCTGTTATGTAACGCCCTGTTGGGGTGGTTGTGCACCGCCCGTGCGATGGTGGTGCTGAACAATATGGACACTTCATTTGGGTTTTTCCTTTTTTTTTTCCCTCTCTATCTCACTGTTTTTCAGCTCTTTCTGGGTATGTTCCACTTTTTTGTAGCTTGATTTGGATGATTCAGGACAATGTGTGTGTGACAGTTTGAGCCGTATAGCGTTAGAGGTGTCAAAACTTCACCCGACCTAACTCGAAAATATAAGATTCAAATTTCGACTGATCATAACTTAAGTTTAAACCTAGACCCGACCTGAACTCACCGAATCTGATCCGAACACCCAAATTGACATCACCATGTGAGAGTGCAAATAAATTTGGCCATTCAAAATTTTTACAGTGTAAATTGTGTTTATTACATCTACAAGACTACGACAATTAAAATTATTACTCCCCCATTAAAAGATTTTTTTTTAATAATATAGTCGTTCCAAAATAACAGACATAAAACTTTGTGTTCCTTCTATTTCGGAATAACAGACACAATTTTCTTTTTTGGCCATTAAAGATAATTGACACACTACCATAAATAACAAGGGTCATTTAATTATCAGGATATGGAGTAATATGTTTAGTAGTTTATACTCCCTCTGTCCCTTATTTTTTGCCTCAATTGACTTTTCACGGTCTTCAAGACGCGTGTTCAGACGTATATATCTTAATTTCTATACGCATAAAAATTATAAAAGTTTGATATTAATAAAATATACAATGAGATGATTCTAACAAGACCCCACATGAATATATTATCACTTACAGATTATCGGGAATTTATGGTCAAAATTTTATAAGTTTGACCTATAAAATTGCAATGGAGCAAAAAATAAGGGACGGAGGGAGTACAAGATTTAAGTGTTCAAATCAATTGGTAAGGGTTGTTCCACCTTAATCAAAAAGTCGGTATAAAACCTGATAAAGAGTTCATAGCCAATTTATCCATAGCACAGTACTAGTGGTACTACTCTCACCATGTTGTACGGAGCCCAAATATGCATCTAATAATTTCTTATCTTTGATATAGAATTCACTATCTTTAGTTTACAAAGTTCTTATATTCTTACAGTAATGAAGAATCAATATAGTGGGAGCAAAGTTTCCTTTCAATAAAATTTATATAGCGACATTTGTTATAATGAAATTCCAGCTTCAGTACATATTGTGCATGTAAACAAGATCAGCTGACTACAAGTGAGTTGTAAGCTCTGGCAGAAGTTTGCATCTTAAAAGCAAAACTCAATGAACGCCAATCACGTGTAATGAAGTGTAGCTTCATAGGCCGCATAAGCATCCATTATCAACTATTCCCAGATGCAGTTGCTGTCTTTCTAATTTCTGCATGCTTAAGACTCAATGCTCGAGCACCCTGTTAACATAGCAGCAAAAAACAGAAATGAGTTTGACTCCACAAGCATTTTATTGTCAATGACAAATTGCTTTCCCACCAACTTTTGAGGTGGGATTGTGGGAAGGGAAGTGGAGGTGAGGGTCAAGTTCCAATATCCCTAGATAGTGAATGATTAAATCGGCTCTCCGCATCCATTGCTATAACTTTTATAAATACTAGGCCACTTTGTCTCTCAACTTGCAGAAGATGCCAACCGCAACCCCCCACCCCTCTCTTTATACCAGGCCACTTTGTCTCTCAGTTTGCATCTTAAAAAAAAAAAAAAAAAAAAAAAAAGAAGCTTAAAAATTTGTTAAGAAGAGGGGGTGGGGGTGGGGGTGGGGGGAATAAAAGATTATCAAACTTATTACCATGCTAAAATTGTCCAGTCTCATAAAAGTTAGATACTGCCATGTTTCACCATGCATTACAAGTCTTTCACGATAATTCTCACAATTTACGTTTGGAATGAGGAGAATGAAATAAGGGGTAAAGCAAATGAATATGATGCTAAAATAGGGGATACATGAATGGGTGGGTGTCTTGGTGGTTGTTGGCTGGTTGGGGTGAGCAGTTATTACTCTAGGTAGGAGAAGTGGAGAACTTATCACCTCCATTTGGAAATCATACTTTTAAACCCCCAACTATATATACTAGTATACTACAGCTTATCCTCCCACAAAAGATATTACAGTACTCACTAATTAATTAATTCCCCTCATTACAACATAGCCTTAAGGTTGTTTCAAAGTAAATCCAACAGCTTATCAACAATATCTTTACTGGCCAAGGATATTGCCCTGTACCAATTAAAAGTGAAAATCATCTAGCACAGATATCCTTGGAGCCAAAGTTGTATAGTTTTTATTTTCCTCTCATGAAAATTCAACTTATTAGCTGATCAGTTCACTCACTCTCGGGCCAAGTATCATTACTGTCATTCTGCTATAGTTACCAGATAATGGTAAAATTATGATACAGAATAAAATCTGTTCAGCAACACAATGGTAAACCCTGCTCTTTAAGCCTCTCTTATAACGTTGATATGGGCTTAAATGATTACAAATCCATACTTCTTATCTGATCAGTAAATTGGTGAGGTATAATCCAACTAGGCACACACAAGAAAAATCCAGGAATGGGTTAGCAAAACTGAAAATGTAAGGCAAATTTCTCTAATTCCTCATCTCATGGAATCACATACATAGAAGGAACAACCCATCACAGCCACAAGGGGCCACAACACCCTCAAATACCCACCCACTGAGGATGCCCTTTCCTGACAACCCACTATTTCCTATGAAGACCAATGTATAAAAAAAACTTAGGAGCATTGATGTACAACAGAAAGATTGCATTTAGGGTGTGCCTCTTTGAATGCATTTTGGCTATCTTAAAAAAACGTTGCACCCTTTTGTCTAGTGCATAGGTACACTATTTTATACACTGATAAGGACCAGATGAGGTGCTGAGAAAGAGAAGGGAATGAATCAAAGGGGAAGGAAGTTTATTATCCAAAGAGCCAAACACTCGTTTGTAATTTCATGCATGGGTTCTCACAAATCATCCATTTTGGGCATATAACCCCTCACAAGTCCCAAGAATTTAAAAGAGGTGGAGATTTTAAAAAAAAAAAAAAAAGGAAAAATCCCACAAATCACACAATTTTCATGAACCCTGCCAATCTGTATGCCAATGACTCTATTTTGCACAGCTAAGGATTTATCTATTTCATCCATTGATGATATATGCAATATTACACAAAAGAAACAAGCCTAGAAACCAATTAAAAGTTCATTGAGCAGATTTCTGTTTGAAGTCATTAGGCATGTTATCCATAATGGGAGCTAAATCCAGGAAAACACAATTCTGTTTGAAAAATTCAGGTCCTTATAACCTCAATAATCTCGCGCCCCAAACCAATTTGTTCCTGCATGCTTAGTCAAAACATGTCATTCTGGGGTGTACGTACTGGTGACTGGTGAGGACTGGCAGCAAAACCCATTTCCAGATAAAAGGAGATGAAAGAAAGGAATATCAATAGATCTCAAAGGTAATGTTAAAATTCAAGTTATCATGATAGCTCATCCTAGCTTGTAGCACTGATAGTTTGAAGCTTTGATCACATTTCACAGTAATTGGCTAAACCAAGTGAATATAAAGCATGACTGAGTCCTTCCTCTAGTCCCAAATAGAAAGTTGCTAGAAGCCATGACACGCTTAAAGCCAACAGCCACAATTCTGTAAGTATTGGTGTGTTACCAAAAGATAATTACTGGCTGATTCAAAACAAAAAGGCCGATGACAATACATTTTCAAATTTGAAAACAAAAAAAAACAACCCTCTTTTAGACCAACATTGTACCCAAGAGTTGGCATCGATAAGTACTATAACACTCAAGTATCCCAATGAACTAGTCCCAAATCAAGCTTCAAGACAGACCAGAAATTAGGCTTCCTTAAATTAGACTCATTGTACACAGCAAACTCTTCTTTATGCCACAAGTACTTGATTCTCATTAAGAACTTTCCATCCAGACTCCAATTGGCACCAGACTCCAATTGGCATACTACTTTTCACGCCACAAGTACTTATAATACCCTGAGCTGTATGTCACCAAACCCATAAGCCTAATAAAATTATTATTCTCAAAAAACCTATGGTTAGGGAATAATACAAAAGTGAGACTTTAGCAAGTTCTGCCATTTGCTATTCATGTTTTCCTCTCTGTTTTAACTTCTAAGTAAACCATTCCCAGCTTGAAGCAAAGGAAGAAACATGGAAATAGTTCAGCTAAAAGTTCTAACTTTTTTTTTTGCAACATTGTCAAACTAACCCAGTAGAGGAAACGACTTAAGAACAAGAAGGTCAAAGGTCGAATCAAAAAGTATTTCTGATCATCTGATCGGCTGATCCCCAACTTCAAAGATTTGCTATTCACTTTTCAGAATTTCTTGGAACAATAATACTGTAATCGGCTTATAGATTGCAATAAGCTAATACCTAATACACTTGCCACCCACATACCAACCTCACTAAGAAGTCACACTAGTTAGGAGGTGTGCTGAAGCAATGTATATAATGGCCGCTGACAATCACATTAAAGACTTAGGAACGAGGTCAAAGGGAAAATCAAAAAGTATTTCTGATCTGATCCCCAACTTCAAGTTTAGTTATTCACTTTTCAATTTTTCTTGGGACATTAATGTAATCCCCTTACAATCAAACTGCAATAAGCTAATACCTTATGCACTGGCCACCCACACACCAACCTCTTGTAATCCAATGCTCTGAATGATATGAAACAGCAGGAAATATCTCACTAAGAGTTCACACTAATTATGAGGCAAGTTGAAGTATTTTATAGAACGGTCACTGACAGTCGCATTAAATATGGGTCAGCCAATAGGTATGATACGCTTATTTAGTTATTGCTTTCCATGACTCAACAGACAACAGGGATATGACAAATAATTAGAAAGAAAAAGGAGAAGACTATGTGCTGCCACACTGACGTGGCAGCAGACTTGCAGACACCAAGGATTCTACCTTCTCGTGTTCTATAAACCTCAATCACCCATAATTTAACAAGAATAACCTATGTAAAACTAATGAAGTAATTATCTAATAATTTGAGCCAGAAATTGACCCAATTTCATAAGAGGTTCATAATAGCTACTCAACAATCTGATCAAATTTGCCTTATGGCAAACATCTTCGAGCAAGTTACTTCCACTCCCAGTTCCATGTAAACATCAAAAACACAAATATGTACAATCTTAAAATCTGAAAGCCACAGAAATGTCAATTAATTAACCAAACCGCGTTACCACACACCACCATCCAAAATTCCAATTCACT